TATATATATAATATATATATATTATTGTGTGTGAATTGTAAACAACGTTTGATTTTTTCATATCATGTGTAGAATATTCCAACTGTATTAATTAACTGTTCAACTGTGTTTGGAAATTTTGATATTCTTTTCATTGTGAAAAACTTAATTATTCTGGAAGATAATTTTCCAATAATAAAAAAATATTTGTTTCAGTGATCCTAATCAACGAAGATTCTAATACTTAGTATGAACAAAATACAGACATTGAAAATCTAAGTACCTATAATTTACAATTATTTACTGGACATAGATGAATCTTGGTAATATTCTTAATATGATAATTTGATTTATGAAATATAAATATTTTCAATGATGATGTCACTCTTGAAGCTTTGAACATAACATTACTAATATCAGATATCTAAAAATTATGGCACTATTACCATCAATGCTCCAATTTTGTATAAAAAATCATTTAAAAATTCATTTTCAACTGTAAAATTCAGATTACATGCAAGTATTGTCCAATATTCTTTTTAGTTCTTTTCTATTGTATTTCATTTTGGCGTCTTGACGAAGTCTCTATTCTGAGACGAAAGCTTGACGATCTGTGTAATAGAGTAAGTTTATTTTTTGTACCGTTAATCCCTACCTTCCATATACTATTTATGAAAATTCTTGTAGAATGTACGATTTTGTTATTTCCAGATTGTCTGTGAGCGAATCTCATAGTCGACCTAGGAATTTCATTGGACCAACATATTTTTGCAGGTGAGTACATTGATATAATTTTTATCTGTACGAATACTTGACTCTTTTCAAGTAACAACTCTGACTCATATTCAATATTTCTTCAGGAATTATGATACAACTTACTGTGAATAGTAAACAAATTGAAAATATCCTGATTTTTTCAAATCACAAACTTCCCTTGAATGTACTTGTGAAAGTCCGAACAATCTGTGACTAAATAACATTTTCTGTTCTCGCATTATTCAAAACCCTACCAAACTCTCTCACAATTATGGTGTTAATTGAAATTTAAATTATTTACATTATCATCAATTAATTTTCAATTAAACTAGTAATTAATTCTAGATTCAAGTCGATTTGTTGGACAACAAGCGGGTGCGGTCCTCCATTTCAATTAATCAACATCTTCCATGTTAGCATGAAAATACAGGGGGTATGCCTAAATAGAAAAGACCTACATCACCAATTTCATCACATTCAAAATTTGTTATATATGTTCATCATTGTTTATATTCATGGAGGTATATTGAATTATTAAAATATAGAAATTTCTTCTCTTAGTCGAATTAATTCAGTTTATCATTGAGTTTGCCATTATAATATAGAGGATATTTGTTGGATGATATTTATTTTGTAAAGATTCATAGTGAATATAGGCTGTACAAAATAACTAATGTCTAATTTCTACTATGATTTTTATTTGTTACGACCGGTTTCGGTTCACTCAATAAACTTACTTGATAAACTAAAACCGGTCGTATCAAATAGAAATCGTGGTAGAAATTAGACCAAAGTTATTTTCTTCAGTCTATATAGAGGATATTCTATCAATAAACATAAATATAGAGAACTTCTCAATCTACTCAGGAAAAAAATATTATTTTCGACAGAAAATATATTCACATGGCTTCTCCAAACATTTCTAATCATCATCTCAACTGAATATACAATACTGTGTCATTCATTATCTTTTCTGTATATAATCTCATTTACTCGGATAATGCTAATGATACTTTCTTTTTCTTAAGTTTTTCATGAGAATAATTTGTTCACCGTCATATTTTATTTTCTCTTGTAATTACTCTTTCTCATAGTTTTGAAATGTGTTTTTGATTCAACTCATAGTTCAATCTGAGTTTACCTTATTTTTGTTGTTTGTTGACCGGTGCCGGCTACTGCTGATGCAATTTTCGGTACATGTCGTCGATTCCTTCACAATACGACTCTACTGTGATGGTTAAGCCCAGTTGCAACGAGTTATAGCCGCTGACCATCATATAGTAAGTATGATACACTGTTTGGAACCTTTGGTATAGTAAAAAATATTACTGGAGTTTTTTTCTCAACGACAAACCGTTATTTTAACACCTCGACACGTGTTTCGATCACCAAGTGATCATCTTCAAGACGAAGATCAAGATCAGTTTGAAGATCAGTAAAGATGATCACTTGGTGATCGAAACACGTGTCGAGGTGTTTAAATAACGGTTTGGTGTTGGGAAAAACTCCAGTGGTATCATACAGTAAGCATGGTTTTTTTTGGTGGGTTCTTCCTTTGGGAAGTGCCTGGATGGTTCATCGGTGTCCAGAACCACTATCCTGAACATCTCCTGTTGTTGTAGAGGATCCACTTTTCATCAAACGTGACAATCCAATCAAAAAAAAATAACTGCAAACACTGCACACCATCATTGCATAGAGTAAAAAATTCTTCATCGATCAGCATACACCACGACACGGTAAAATGAATATTCATTGAGATACGAAGGTAAAGATACGTACGACATTAAAGCAGACAAAACTTCAGAAACAACCTGATACTTGTCCATCAACTTTCACAAAGTTATTATTACTGGTCGAAAGATAATATACTTGAATCGATGAATATTCATAACTCAGTTTTTCGAAGGTAAGTTTATTTCTTGACATTCTGGCATCATACCTGCATTACATATCTTCGAAATCTTATTGAATTACTTCTGAATGAAATGCCTCGATGCTGGAATTCGTTCAATTATACTTCAAAAGTGTTTTTCCAGTATCAGGATTCTACAAAAATATATTGCTTTTTGGAAACTTCTATTTCGTCTTTTCTTCCATGAACTTTTTCGTTTTCCCTCCAATTTGGATATTGAACTTACGGTCGATGCACTGAAAATGTATCCACACAATGAAGATTTCCACCCTCACATTACATTTCAGTTCCTTCTCATTTTTGGGATTCAACAAAATGCTCCTGTCGCGAAAGATTTTCCCATTATTAGTGATTTTCTCTTCTCGGTTAGTGATTTTTATGAAGTATAGCCTCAAGTGTACTTCAGTGACATGTGGCCAATGAGCGTGTTCGATTTTCGTTCCTCTTATATTTGGAAATTTTTGTTTTGCTCATCTTATAGCTTGGTCAACTACCTAGTATGAATTGTCTTTTGATTGTAATCCCCTTTATTACATAATTCAAGAGTGTTTTCATTGCTGCTGTTGGTGTGATTCACAGCTCTCATGTTTTCATTTTCATTTCCTCACAAACAAGTATTTGCTTTCTGTCTAGTTTGATTGTTTCATCTTTGGCAAATAATTCAACTGGGCATATATGAGTTTGACATATACATTGTGGTATATAGCTAATGAATTATGTCTAGTTTTAGCTCCCGCGTCTTTCTATGGGTGCGCTTAACTAGCATTAGGGCAACATTTGTATTCCCTTATATTTTATCTCTGGCATCTAGTACCACTTTTAGCCATAATCGTCCTACCGAGAAGACTATTCGCAATGTGGTCAATAAATTTCAGTCCACTGGTTCAGTAAACGATCGACCAATATCCGTACATCGACTAATTGCAAGATCTGTCGAAAACATCGCTGCTGTCTGTAAGAGTGTGCAGAAAAATCAGAGGTAGTCGATTTCGCGTCGCTCTCAAGAATACGGCCTTCCGCAGCCCACACTTGGCACACTGGATTGATGGGTACGTAAACAAACAAAATTGTCTAATTTGGGACGACACCAATTCATATGAGATCCACACTAATTCATATGAGATCACGACGTTAGGTAATCACTGTCAACAGCAAGCACTATAGGTCGATGATTACCAACTTTTTTTGGCCTGAATTGGTTGTTCTTGATACCAATGACATGTGGTTTCCACAGGACGGCGCTACGTGCCACATTGGATATTCTGCACGAGCGATTTAAGACACAGTCATGTCACGTGGAGGTGATGTATGCGAATAAGCCCATCGGTCGTCACAGCCAACAAAACCCATGGTATCGGTCAAATTCAGTCTGATTTATGCGCCAAAGTTATGGAAAATTGGACGTTTCGGATGCGCTCCATCCAGAGAAGCCGTGGCGAACATTTGAACGATGTTACATTCCACACATAATAGCATCAATAGGTCTTTCAAACGAATAAAAATATCGATGATATCTCACACACACTTTGTTTTACTCAAATTTAAAGATAGGAAGCGTTCAATGAAAGACCCTACACAAACAACATATAATCGAAATGTTTCAAAACTTAAACATCCTTCACAAATAGACATTGATAACACTTTTCTAATCTTTAGTTCGACCAAAATATATAATTATGCCCTCAAGAAAGTTCGACAGAAGACCTGGCACCCAACAAATGTGTCCCCACAAATGTGGGGATTATTAGAATGTTCATTCTTTTGCGTAGTTTTTATCAATTAGATTACGTTCAACATCGCTTTCAGAAAGCTGATCGCACAAGCTTTGGAAAGGCTTCCCATTCTGTTTATATGGAGTATATCGTTTCGATCCCTTGTAGATACAGACCATTCTGATTTGTATTCGATATCATCGAATACCAATCCATTACTCTTCATTGTCTTTTTTTTCTGATTCTGAAACTCCAGAACATGCAAAAACCAATCTCATCAAGAATCCTTCAAGCCAAAAATAAAGTAAGTCATCTGAAATACCCTCAGCCCAGTTCAGCCACTCTCAAGACCCAGTAATTGAATACAAGTGCATTAAAGAAAAAAGGGTATCTGAGGAATGAAAACGATAATGGTAAAAGCTTATATGGATTACAGAGGGGAGAGCATACACACAACGACTGAGTGCCTTGGCTGGTTTCAGCATAAAAGGCTTTCCATTTGGAATCGCCGAAGATCCCGGTTTGCTCTTACATAAATGGCTCTACTTATTGCATTAGTTTAGTCAGTGTCGCTTATACTGCTCCATATCCGTACTTTTATAAACTTTTCCTTCTTCGCAATGAAATTTTCGAAGGTTAGGGTCGAGGATGTTTCACATGGCGGTAGGTCGACTAATTTAGCGGGTCCGTCGATTTCTGCAAAAAACTGAAGGGTTGATTTCATGTTCTCATTTCTTCTGAATATGTTAGTCTTAGATCTCAGTATAAAACGACCTTCATCGAGCTGGTTAATGAATGAAAAGTATTATATGTCATATTGAATATGTCAATAAATATATTGACTGAAAAATTCCAGTCTAGAATATTATTAATGAAAACTTTCTTATATTTT